AAAAAAAAAAAAAAAAAAAAAAAAAACCCCAAAACAAGCAAACAAACAAAACAAAAACACAGGGACCCAACCCAAATAGACAGGTTGACTGACACTTCCAAGGAAGCTTGGACTATGCAGTGAGAACTCTGTGGGGGAACAGGGACCAGCCAGCAGGAACGGAGCGTCCTCCTCCTCACCAACCTTTTCACCCAGGCTCCTCTTCTCCCTTCGGTCGTTCTCGTCCACTTCCATGTTTTCAATCCCCGAATCCACATCCACCTGGGACATGCTTTAAGTACAAAAGACAAACATGGCTTTCATCTTTTTTTAAATTCCCAGCGTCAAAGCTGTGACAAGCTTTATTTAACATATCAACCTGCATTTATCAGGAAAGCAGAGTAACACTGGTTCCCTTCTGAAAACCTAAGAGCTCCTCATGAACTGGCATGGAAGCATCTAGTCCATCTTACGTGCTGGACTCATTCTCCCAAGGGATCATTTCCTTGAGATCACTTTCAAAATCTAAGCTATCAGCAGAATGGATTTTCAGGACGTGCTATTTTTAAACAATGCATGATGCAAGCAGAGTTATTTACATTAAGTGACTGTCCAGCACCAGGTACTAAATCATCCCTTTGACCCCAACAAGAATGATGCTCTGTCATTTGTCTCACTCTCACAAATGTGGCATTTGGGGTACTCATTTCTATTCCACAGCCAGCCACTCTGTCTCACCAACCAAAACGTCTCAACAGGTCTTGCTTTGGTCCCATCACGCCTTGCTCTAATTCTAGAGCCATACAAATTTCCACTATGATTTCTCCTTGACAAAAAAATGTATAAGGGTATTTTATTAAGTTCTATGCTAATTTTCTGGCTTAATATACAAGTCAAAACACATGGCCCTTATGTGTCTGATTCTTGTAACTTTCTACCTGATGAGCACGTAAAGTCCTATATTTTTCAATTAGATCAATTAGATTGTATGTTTCCTCATGTCCATCCTCTCCTTGATCTATTCCTGGCTAAAAGAGACATGTCTGAAGCCCCTGAGGATGGTTTTACAGATGGCGATGGCTTCTTGACACCCTGTCAGTGTTCGCTTTCGGCACGCTGATGTTATATTTCTAAGCGTGTGCACACCTGGAGCTGTCATGGCTGCAGGTAAACTCGTCGTCACAGAAAGCTTCCTTCTAGTCATGAAGCTGGGTTACAGGACACACAACAGCCCACGGTTTGCCTTTACCTCCTTCAGCTAATACTGGAACTAGAAGTTTCAGAGGTAAGCAGTTCATAAGTCTAAAGTGCATGCTGCCAAGTAGCGTGGCGAAATCCCGCACCTAGATGCGCTCTGCCCAGGCCGGAGTCCTCCCTTTGTCACAAAGTCGATGCCAGCTCTCACTTTATTTGGTAGCTGGGTTACAAACCTGGTGTTGCCATGCTAGTCCTCAGCAGTGGCCCCAAAGCCCAAGAGGAGTGAATTAAGGAGGCCCAGGGCACAAAATGTGGAAAGAAGGGTCAACTGTGGAACTCTGGTACTACATGGTAGGGTTACAGCGGGAGACACTAAACACAAGAATCTAAGGGCGCTTGGTCTAATAGCAGCCTTTCTGGCTTACCTGCTATGGCTGCTGAATATTTTAGAGCCATCTAACCCTTCTGATTTCTCTGTCTCGCTACTGCTGCACCCACTGGTATTATCATTTACACGCTGAGATCTATTCACATGTACCACTTGTTTATTATGAGGCCATTTTGTTTAATCATCTATACCTTACGTCTCATAAAAGGCATCTGGAAACTGAACTGAAATTCTGTGGAGAGGTGGTACCTGCTTATAACCGCTGAGCTACCTCTCTAACTCATAAAGACATTTGACTCAAGCAACTGTATAAAGAACATTTCATTCAGAACAGAAAAACTTCTCAACCTAGGAATGAAATTTGGAATCAGGTTGGTAATGACACGGTGTCTCTGGGTTGTCACTTCAGACTACTAGGCTAAAGACTAGAGTACAGATTTCCCGTCCTCCAAGAGAAGCAGTGAGAACAGGTGGCATCAAGTTACCTTTTCTCACAGGAGACGCCGTCGATATCCATGCTCTGGGAACGGGAGAGGGATTGAGACTGCGTCTCAAGGCTGTTGGACGGTGAGCTGCTCAGAGAGCTGACTCCTTCGCTGCTCTGGCTCCGATGGGCAACTCCTAAACACAAGAGGTGAGACAGAGAAAGGCCCATGTGACACAAGTCCAGGAGTAAAGGCAACAGCAACACACACACCCTCACGATGCTTGGTAGTGAGGATTCCTGTCAGCCGACCCCGTAAGTGTCAGCAAGAGATCATGACTGTCGTCATGCGTCACGTACATGGCGCTGCACGGGGTGCTTGGAATGACTCTCAGACGTTCTAACTGTGGCCCTGGACAAAAAAATGACAAAACAGCGAAGTCGTCTTTTATTTTGTTTTAGTATATTTTATGAGTGCGAGAGAGAGAAACAGAGAGAGAACATGTGTGCACTTCTGTGTGCCCCCATGGACGTCAGAGGACAACTGTCAGGAGTCAGTTCTCCCTCCACCATGTGAGTTCCATGGATTGAAGGCAGGTGTCTCACCCAGTTAGCCATCTCACCAACCCAACAGTACAGAGACATTCCTGAAATGCACTGGAAATAAGATACATTACTGAACTGACAGACATGCAAAGGAGCCACTAACAAATGTCGATGAAAGAATCAGATGGTGGGAGGGTAGGTGTTTGTGGCCGGTCTTTCGACTTAGCCGCAAAACTGAGACTCTCAGACATGTTGAAAATACAGCAGAACTTCACCGCTCCATCTCCTTCTGTACAGATCCGTCCATTTGATGATGAAATATATTGGAGAAAATAAAAAAGTGACACCATCTTTGACCCCACAGAGCTCACAGTGACATGAAACTAGCATCAGGGCAGAGGGGCAGACTACTTCTCAGAGAAATTTGCTCAACAATGTCTTAAAAATTATTTGTTACAGAACTTTAAAAATCACCTTAGCTAGGTGTGAGGACACACACCTTTAATCCCAGCACTAGGGAGGCAGAGGCAGGCGGATCTCTGTGAGTCCTAGGACAGACTGGTCTACAGAGTGAGTTCTAGGACATTTAGGAGTACACAGAGAAACCCTGTCTGGGCAGGGGATAGGGTACACAAAGGCACTCAAGAATTCACTCTGACCTTAACTTGGGTATACACACCATAAAAACTTTATTTAGGACAGTGTACTATATATAACAGACTATACATAATAGGAACAAAGCACCATGGCGTACTGACAGTACAGCATGTCTGTAGTATTTTTGTGAGATCATCTGAATTCACTTTGTCCTGCCCTTCAAAGGTCTTTACACCCCAGTTCGCCCCACAATCAATCACATGTGCTCACACCCGGGTTTTCCCCACAATCTATCATGTGTGCTCACACCCCGGTTCTCCCCATAATCGATCATATGACTTCATACCCCGTTCTCCCCACAATCCATCACATGTGCTCACACCCCATTCTCCCCACAATCAATCACATAGTCATCTCTGAACATCACAATGATCTACTCGTTTCAAAAATTTACAAAGTTTGGTGGCCCCTTCAGTTTTACTTAGAATATAAAATATCATGACTAAAACACATGAAAGCAACAACGAAAGGTCACTCTCTCCCGAAACCACGCTGTGCTGTTGCCACCCTCTTCCACTTCCTGCTAGAGAAATCAGAGTTGAGGAAGTGACCTCTGAGATTAAGACTGTTTTATTCCCTCTCCCATCTTCCGAAGGCCAGATACTGAAAGGTGAAAGCCTAGGCATAACTTCATCATCAACATTAACAACCTTCACCTATCAACTTACAAAACCAATCTTTTAAAAGTGAGGGTGCATGGAGCAAACGAAAGAGAAAGCCATGTTTGCTCTTAATACACATGAACTACAAACATGCAAGGGGGCTCGACTCTTGGCAGGCTCTGGCTGGGGAAGGTTGTAGAAGGCACTTCACACTCTGGGAAAAGCAGACACTGAAGAAACTAAGAAGGGATTCGCTGAGTCCTTCCTCCTGTATCACCATGGCTCCTCAGCAACAGGCCCTCTCGGATACAAACCACACCAAATGCCCACTTAGGACTCGTTATTGCTGAACTTGTTCTGGTCATCCTTTCAACCTGCCTCTGTCTGTATGTCTGCCTGCTTGTCTGCCTGTCTCTCACATCCAGAGGCTTGCTGGGAAAAATAAAAAATAAAAATGAATTATAATATTCAGAAGCATCCCAGGGCCGGTGAGATGGCTTAGGGGGAAAAGACCCTTGCTGCCAAGCCTGACCCGACAACCCCACATGGCAACAACATTCCTCAAAAGGAATAGAAGTAAAATGTTGCTTTCTAACTCCAGACATGGGGCATGGCAAGTAAACACACATACACATACACTCAGGCACACTCATGCACATGAATAAATGAATGAATAAATGCAAAGAACTTACAAAAGGAACCCCCAAAACCTTTAAAAACAAACAAGAAAAAAGAAATTAGAGATTTGGAAGGGAGAGTCAGGTGAATCTCTGAGTTCAAGACCAGTCTGGTCTACACAGTAAGTTCGAGGACAGCTAGGGACACACAAAGAAACCCTGTCTTGAAAAATCTACCCAAAAAAGGGAAGATGGCACAGTGGTTAAGGGCGCTTCCAGAGGGCCAGGGTTTGAATCCCAACACCCACAGAGCAGCTCACAATCATCCCCAACTCCAGTTCCAGGGGATGTGGTGCCCTCTTCTGGACTCCACAGGCACCAGCCATCCATGAGGTACACAGACCTGCAAGCAAATGAAGCACCCCCACACATAAACTAAACACATAAACTAGAATATTTTTATAAAAGACAGGGATGTGGGCTGATCTTAAAGAGCTCATCCAACCCTGCATTCACCCTCTTCTATAGGTAAAATCACGCTCTCTGAAGCCATGATGGGAGTACCTGCTGTAATCCTAGCATCAAGAGGCAGAGCCAAGTGTCTGGAGTTTGACATTAGCCTATACATAACAAGACTCTTAAAAATCGGGGAGGGGGGAAAAAAAAAAGACTCTTAAAAATCTAAAAGAAAGGGGCTGAGAGCATGGCTCAAACAGTAAAGCACTTGCTGAGTTAAATCCCCAGGGTCTATGCTTTAAGAAGAAAAAGTTGGGCACAATGCACACTTGTGAGCTCGTGGAGGGAGTTAGGTGGCTCTCTGGAAGCTAGCTAGCCGCTTGGCAGAGTTTTAGGTCTACGAAAGCCTGTCTCAAAACAAAAGGAAGAAGGTTCCTAAGGAATGACATCTGAGGTTATCCTCCTACTGCCACACACACATGCATGCAACCACACGCACACGGAATCTGAGAGCTATTTCTAACTTTATAGATGTGGCATCAAGCAGTTTTCCATGAACTCTGTAACCTGTCATTTAAGTTAGTGTCACAGTTTATTACCTGAATAATGATGGGGATAAAGGAGAAAAATCTCTACCCCTTTATATGCTGTCTTCTGGTATTTGTGAGTGTGTACAACTGTGTATTCATGCACACATAAGGGACAGATTTTCCAGGAGTTCTTGTGTTCAGTATTGCTCCTCTGCCTTCACAATACCTGCAAACAGGGTAAAGGAATGCCAGCAGTACCGTGCACAGCCGGCGCCAGGATCAGGCTGCAGAGGCTGTCCCAGCAGGAGTGGCAGGACGATGGAGACAACTGGCATAGATATGCCTGTCACCAGCAAGACACTGACGACACCTGCTCTGGATTCACAAGGGGATTAATGTAGCCCCAGGAAAACACAACTGCATGCTAATGAACCGCTCCAACCAAGAGGAGGAGCCTCCAGGGTCTCTGGGTTCCGCTGCAGCCCTCGGCCTAGGGGCTCTGGCCTGCGTCTCTGCCTCTAGCCAGATCTGCTTTTATTTATTCCACTTCCTCAGATAGATCTCACTGTGTAGCCTCCACTGGCCACAAACTTGAGATCTTCCTGTCTCCGCTTCCCAAGTCTCGGGTTTACAGGCATAAACCATGCCCAGCTGTTTGTATTTATTAGCAATGGAACTCAAGGCCTCCGGGAGGTGAAAACTGTTCCACTAGTTGCATGCCCAGCTGTAAATCAGCTTCTAGACCACACACAAAACTTTCCTTCTCCCAAGCCTGAACCAAGTATAAGAGGAAAAAGGATTTTAATATAAGCAAATGGTAACAGAACAAAAGATCACAACTCTGCTGTCCTCTTGGTACCACTCTTAGGCAAAGGCAATGCGCTGCGAAAGAACAGCTTCCACTTAGTTAATTCTCGAAATGCACACAACCACTAACGCTGTGCGTGACCTTCAAGCACACAGGATGAACTTCTATGCCCTGCATCAGTCACTACTGCCCTAGGACTCTGCTCTGACTTCTCCTCAGGGATAGCACGGCCTTGTTCTCTAAGGTGCGGCAAGACTGAAATAAATACTAGGTGGGGGCTGCATGACTGACATTACAGCATCTGGTACATCACTAGCAACAACCTAGACACACCAAAGCGTCAGATAAAGCACAACAAGAGAGTTCCGGGGAGCGAGGATGACGCCTGAAGCGAATATACGAGGATTATCCCACTTTCAAAGTTAATAATGTTCTTTTATTTTTTAAATTTTATTTATTACATAAACAGTGTTCTGTCTGCATTTTTGCCTATATGTCAGAAGAGGGCACCAGTTCTCACTATATGTGAGCTACCATGTGGTTGCTGGGAATTAAACTCAGGACCCCAGAAAGAGCAGCCAATGCTCTTAACCTCTAAGCCATCTCTCCAGCCCTTTATTTTATTTTATTTTTTTTAGGTAGCTTTGTGACTGGGTATGGTGGCATATGCCTTTAATTCCATCCTGGTCTAGAGAGAGGTCCAGGCCAGCCAGAGCTACACAAGGAGACTCTGTCTTAAAATAAACATACGGGGCAGGAGGAGAGGAGGGAGGGGGAACTGGGATTGGTGGGTACTAAACAAATAAAAAAATAAAACTAATTATAAAGAACAAATAAACAAAAACAAGGTAGCATGCGTGACTGACACTAGAAATTGGACCCAGGGCCTTGCACATCCTATGCAGGTATTCTTTCTCACAGCTACATCCCTAGGCCCAGGGCAGACTTAACACCACATATAGTCCGAATTAGCAGCTTCGTGGGTGGCACCTGAGGAATGACACCTCAGACTGACCTTTGGCCTCCACATAAGCACACAATCAGCAATCACTGGCAGTGGAAGTCTAGCAAATACACACCAGGTCTTAAGAGACTCAAAAGTGTCGTGTAACTCAGTCTTTCTTGTCAAACCCAGACCAAGGCGAAGCCAGAGCAGCATGAGCAAGGCGCTCCCACACTCTCACACCTAACAAAAGAGAACCATGGCCTTGCTGAAAGGCCACAGCAACCTTTCCATAAGGACAGTTGCCTAGCAACTCCCCCAGTCAACCTTGGACCGAGCCCTCCTATTATTGATTCATGTGACCAATGACAATGCAAAACAACTTACATAACCTTCCTCACTTTACCTGTGAAACTGCCTGCCTTCACCTCCCCACACATGGCCGGGATCCCTACAGAACACACTTCCCCAAACAACTCTCTGCTCACTTCCAACTGAATTCATTGCTCCCTTAGAGGGCTTTTCTCTCCATCCTTAGGTTCAAAGTGCAGTTCAGTGAAAAACTCAAGAGGCCTCAGGAATGGTGTACAAGGTCAGAACTTTAGGGCCCATGGTGTGTGTGTGTGGGGGGGGGGACAGGTGGAGTGTCAGAGCCTCCGCAGAGGGGTTCACAGGCACTGCCTATATTTCCATATCCATCTGAAGTATTTTGTCTGGTTTCTTTAATTTTAGAAGGAAATGCATAGTACAGAGATAACTTCTCTTTAGGAGAAACAGCGAGGCAGACTTGCTGGCTTCAGGGAACGGAGGGACCTGCATAAAACTCTTCTCTTACTTTGACTCTAACGCTGCCAACCAAACCATTGCTCTCCCCAGGCCCGATGTGACTCACGAGAATGTGCTGGCATGAGGCTTGGGACAAAACAACATGATGAGCAAAGGGCTGGAGGGACAGCTCAGCGGTTAGGAACACTGTTGCTCTTGTAGAGGTCCTGGTCTAGTTCCCAGCACCCATGTCAGGAAGCTCACAACCACCTGTAAGTCCAGCGCCGATGGACCCAATGCCCTCTTCTGGTCTCTGTGGGCACTTGCACACACGTGCACTTATTCACACACAGACACGCATACATACATACATACATGATTTAAAATAATCTTGTCAGGTGTGGTGGCACAACCACACGTTTAATCCTAGCACTCAGGTGACAGAGGCAGGAGGGTCTCTGTACATTCAAGGTCAGCCTGGTCTACATTTCAAGTTCTAGGCTACCCAGGACTACATAGTGAAACCCATTCTCAATAAACCCAATCTTAAATAAATAAGTAAGCAACAGAGAAAAGGAGGAAGCAAGGGCGTAAACACTTCTTGTTTACAGCCACAGTAAGCCGGATACACTGGTGGAGCTTTCCTGTCCCACGTGTTGTGTCTGGGGTGCTGGAGCGTAGGATGGAGCGCATGCTGGGAAAGGCTCTCTCACAGACCTACAGACTTAGCTCTAACGGGAAACACATTTCTTCGTTCTGAAATACAAATCTCTCCTTCACAGCCGTTCTAGACCAGTTTTCAGGTTGGCAGGGAATACACACAAGCGATCACTTCCACAGGGCAACTTCCCTCTTCTCTCTGAGATGGTCTCACCATACTGTCCAGGGTTGCTGTGAATTCACGATCCTCCTGCCTTAGCCTCTTCCAATTTTTCATTTTCATTTTTAAAATTTTATCTCTTTATTCACCTGTGTGTGTATAGGGTGAGTGTGTGTGAGTATGGGTATGTGTGTACAGGGTGAGTGTGTGTGAGTATGGGTATGTGTGTACAGGGTGAGTGTGCGTGTGTGTGTGTGTGTGTGTGTAAGTATGAGTATGTGTGTATAGGGCGAGTATGTGTGAGTATGGATATGTGTGTATAGGGTAAGTGTTGAGTGTGTGTGAGTATGGGCATATGTGTACAGGGTGAGTGTGTGTGTGAGTATGGGCATGTGTGTATGAGGGGAGGTTTTCTCCATCTATGCTAATTCTAAGGACTGAACTCAGGCCATGAAGCTTATGGACAAGTGCCTTGAAACAGCGGAGTCAGCTTGCAGCCTAGAGCTTTGCTTTCCTCTCTTTCTTTCTTTCTTCCTTTCTTTCTTTCTTTCTTTTTCTTTCCTTCTTTCTTCCTTCCTTCCTTTCCTTCTTCCTTTCTTTTGTCCTTTTTCTGTTTTTGCTTTTTTTTTCTTTTTTGGCTTTTCGAGACAGGATTTATTTGTGTAGCCCTAGCTGTCCTGGAACTCACTCTGTAGCCCAGTGTGGCCTTGAACTCATAGATACCCCCGCCTCCCAGGTGCTGGGATTAAAGGCGTGCACCACCACCACCAGGCAGCTTTACTTTATTTTAAACGTATTTATATTTGAGACAGGGTTTTACTATATGGCCTTGGTTGTAGACCAGGCTAGCCATTAATTCTTAGAGGTATACCCGCCTCTTTTCCCAAGTGCTGGGTTTAAAGAAAGGCATACCATACCTGACAACTCTTCATTTTTAAAATGACAACTGTCATAATTTCTGGGAATTTCTTTAAGCTACATAAGCCCATGTTGTATGGTCATTTCCTCTTGGTGATTCATTCACTAATTCACCCCACCTTAAATCCTCTGCCAGGCTCTAGTGACAGCACTGGGGACACAAAAGTGAGCACAACTTCCTGACCCAGGGAGTTTCTATACCATCAGGGGAGGTAGACAAGACAGGGCACACAGCCAGACATGGTCCTCTGGGCATGGAAAGTCAGCACTAAGGAGGTAAAAGCAGGTGGATCCCAAGATTGAAGACAGCCTGTGTTACGCGACAAGACTATGTCTCAAAATCAAAACAAGAAAACTCAAAGTGGACAAGTAGGATGGAGGCCAGGGCCGAGAGGAGCAGTGCTACATTAGAATGTGTGCGATTCAGATAGCGGTCAAAGAGAGTTTTCCTGAGAAAGGGACACTAAAAACATTTTCTTTGATTGGTTTGGGTTTTATTTATTTTAAAAAATCACCTTCATTTATTTGCGTGGTGGGGTGAGGGTGACTGCTACTGTGTGTGTGTGTGTGTGTGTGTGTGTGTGAGAGAGAGAGAGAGAGTGTGTGTGAGTGTGTGTGTGTGTGTGTGTGTGTGCGCGCACGTAGCAGTAGTAGTAGTAGGTCAAAGGACAACTTGCTGAGATTGGCTCTCTCGTGTCACCACGTAGGTCCAGGGGACTAAGTTCAGGCTGTCGGGCTTAGCAGCAAGCACCTTTACTTGCTGAGCTGTCTTGCCTGGTTTGATTTTGATTTTCTAGTTTATAGGTCTGGGGTAAGATATGTGGAAATATCAAAACTTGATTTTATTATGATGGGGGGGGACAACTCATGCACACCACAGTATGTATAGGGAGGTCAAAGGATCACCCTGTGGAGCCAGTTCTTTCCTTCCAATTTTATATGGGTTCTGGAGTTTGATCTCAGGTCATCAAGTCTGCTTAGCAAGCACATTTATCTGCTAAGTCATCTCACCACCCCCTAAACTCGATGCCATCCAATGTAATTTTAGAGGAAAAGTCTGTACCAATGCAGCCCAAACACAAGAGAGTCGCCATTTGACCATTATTTCAATCTTGCATTTGCAAATAATTTTTCTGTTTGTTTCTGTGTGTGTGCGCGCGCGTGCTCACGAGCATGAATCAAAAGCTGGCGGTGGATCCAGGTGGTGGTGGCGCTCACCTTTAATTCTAGCACTCAGGAGGCAGGACACAGGTGGATCTCTGTGAGTTTGAGGCCAGCCTGGTCTACAGAGTGAGTTCCAGGACAGCCAGGGTTACACAGAAAAACCCTGCCTCAAAAAGAACCCAAAGTTGATAATGGGTATCTTCCTCCTATTTTTTTAAGACAGGGCCTCCCACTGAACCTGGAATTTACCTATTGACTAGACTGGCTGGCCGTGAGTCTTAAAAGTCCCTACCTACTCAGTATCTCAGTATTAGGGTTACAGACATGAGTCTCCGAACCAGTTTTTAAAAGGGTCCAGAGAATAAGAATGTGGGTCCTCACACGTGTGCAGGAATCACCCATCAAGCTCTCTCCCCAGCCCCTAGAGTACTTTAAGAGATGACAGAGGACTCGGGTAAAGAACATGCTATTAGAGAGAAGGAATGGGGTGGAGGAGAGACACATCAACCAAATTCACAAAACCAGCAGAGTCAAATCAGTCTTGGCCAGCTTCAAAGGCCAGACCTGAGCCTGCTGGTGGAGCCGGGGGGGGGGGCTTGCAAGTCTTCACCGGTCACTATCAAAATGAACTGAAACAGTGAAATACGCAGCAGTGACCTTTAGGCTACTGACTGCTTTAATTTGCGTGGTAACATCGGGATGATGACATCAGAGGTACAACTGCTTCCAGGTCGGAGGCTGAGGCTCACCTGCTGCACCTATGGGGGAGGTAGCTGGGGTCATGTTGTGGACATTGAGACCAAGACTCTGGGAGGGGCCTGGGGCTGATGCAGGTATTGGAGGTCCCGGAGGGTTCTCCCTCTGGGGAGACGTCAGCGGGGTGCTCGGTTGGGAGGTCTGTCCACCAGCAAGTCGGGCCAGGCGCCTCCGGCGAATCTGCAAAAGGGAAAGAGAAAGGACATTCTGTAACCAAAGCACAAACACAAGGACATCCACGTACTAAAGACCATCACAACCATTCCCAGGCTTAGCAGCCCAACCATCCTCGAAACCAATATACTGAGAAAAGTAACAAGGCAAAGCTAGTACTCTGGGTTTTGGTTTTGGTTTGTGTTTGCTGTGCAGGTGAGTCTGAACTTGAGAAGTCAGAGGACAATCCCAAGTCACAGTCCTCACCTTCTCCTAGTAAAACCTGGGTCTTGTTGTTCCCCACTGCACTGGGCATGCTAGCTGCCCTCCCTTCCTCCAGGGTATCTGTCAAGTCTCAGCCACCGCAACCCTTCACCCCCTACTTCGCACCCCTGTATGTCTAGAAATAAGCTCAAACTGACCCACAGGATTTCTGGTGGTTAGATAAAAGTCAGCGCTCCTGAGGAACTGATGAGACAGGTTTTCTATCCCCAAAAGGAGTTCCTCCCATCCAGCTACTTGGCCTCATGTAATCTGTATCATTTGTCAGCCCCACACTCTTGCCCTATCTTGCTACTCTGGCTATGCCAGGTCTGTTGCTGTCCCCCACTCCCACCCCCGCCACCCACCCCGCCACCCCCCTTCCCCAGCCTTGCCCACGTCCAGGCTGCTTTCTTCTCTCTGCTCGGCACTCCTCCAGATCCCTGGCTATTTTCTCTCTTACCCACAAAAAAAATCTTCCCCTAATAGAGTGGTCATCCAGGCAGTTTCTTTCCTGTACCCCTCACAAGCACTGGGAATAAAAGCACACACTACTGCGTCTGGCTTTATGTGGGTTCCTCACTGAGCCTCACAGCCTGGTCTACAGAGCGAGTTCCAGGACAGGTTCCAAAGCTACAGAGAAACTCTGCCTCAAAGAACAAAAAAACAAAAAGATAGAAGACACTCATGCATAAAATAAAAATAAATCTAAAAGAATTAAAATAAAAGTCAATTTCATCCAAAAGGAGAAAGAAACAAAAGTTAAGACACAAATTTTAGGGCTGGAGAGATGGCTCAGAGGTTAAGAGCATTGCCTGCTCTTCCAAAGGTCCTGAGTTCAATTCCCAGCAACCACATGGTGGCTCACTACCATCTGTAATGGGGTCTGGTGCCCTCTTCTGGCATGCACACAGACAGAATATTGTATAAATAAATAAATATTTAAAAAAAACAAAGCAAAAAGACACAAATTTTATTATATGCTTCAAGAGCAAAATACTTAGGCTGCTTTTCTTGCTGTTCTCCATATGATCAAAAAGAAAATATAGTCTGCCATTCTTCCCCAACCGCTCCAGTTACCAAGGACTGAGAATACACAGAGCAGATCACAGCCATGCTTCCCATTTTGGTGACTGACTGACAACTAGGCGAGAGGTTCACAAACGGCCCCCCAACACCCCACCACCACCACCCCTCACCCGGGCTATGCACCAGTACAACTGCTGGATGTGAGCGGGCATCACAGAAAGAAGCCAGACCCTGGACACACTCCTGCCAAGAATACGGAAGACAAAAGCCTCGACTACAGCAAATGGTAACAGGGACAAACTCACTTGAACCTAGGATGTATGCCACTCTCAGACCAAGGAAATGTCCTGAGTCCTCTGACTACAACGGAGCAGTTCCTCCTGCTGCCTGTGCTGCAGACATACCAGTCACTCCCTTCATCCTAAACCTGAGCGTCTCACATAGTAACTAGCTTAGGTTTAGTTAACTGGATTTGAAAACAAGATTAGGAGAAGTTCGAACAGTGGTTCCCAGCCTTCCTAACACTGCGGCCCTTTAAGTCAGTTCCTCACATTGTGATGACCCCCAACCATCAAACTATTTTCGTTGCTACTTCATCGCTGTAATTTTGTGCCTGCTATGAATTATAATGTAAATCTCTGATATGCCACCCTGTGGAAGGGTTGCACTACTCTCAAGGAGGTTGCAACCCTGAGAACCACTGAGCTAGAGAGACAGCATAATTGAGAAAGTTCTTGCTTGACCAAGCATTCAGATCTCCAGCACCCCAGTTCACCCCTGTCTCCTCCTCCCAAGCTGCACGAGAGCCACCACAACCGCCAGGCTTTATCTAGATGCTGGAGACTGGACTCTGGCCTCAAGCTTACAAAGCAAGCAAGGGCTTTATCCACTGAAAAACCTCCCAGTCCCAATTTTCCTTTTGCTTTGTTTGCTTGCTTGCAGTGATGGGGGACTATGGAGGACTATGGGGGACTATGAGGACTGTGGGGGACTGTGGAGGACTATGGAGGGCTATGGAGGGCTATGGAGGGCTATGGAGGGCTATGGAGGACTATGGAGGGCTATGGAGGGCTATAGGGGACTATGGGGGACTATGAAGGGCTATGGAGGGCTATGGAGGGCTATGGGGAACTATGGAGGGCTATGGAGGGCTATGGAGGGCTATGGAGAGCTATGGAGGGCTATGGAGGGCTATGGAGAGCTATGGAGGACTATGGAGGGCTATGTGGGACTATGGAGGGCTATGGAGGACTATGGAGGGCTATGGAGGGCTATGGAGGGCTATGGAGGGCTATGGA